TGCCGCAGGGCACGGAGTCTGGGGAGCTGTCTGGGTGCGCAGGGGCCATAGGCGCGGGCGGCGGGCCTGGGGGTGGGGAGGGGTCCGGAGGGGCAGCGGGGTCACTCGGCGGCTCCCGGTGCCTCCGCTGCCTGCCAAGGCCTCTGCTCCCCGCACGCCCGCTCTTTCTCTCTGGTCGGGGAACTCGGAAAAAGTCTTAATATGTGCAGATTCTTCAGGCCTTTTTGATTCTTTCTAGTCCTTAATGTAGATTTAGAGAATTGTAAGTTCTTGCAACAGAAAATCTGCATTAAAAAAGTCTTCCCCGGTGATCTTTAGGCAGCCCATCCACAGACAGGTTCTTAGAAGCCCTGGCAAGTTTCAGTGTTGAAAATTGTTTCCCCTTCCCTAAAAGCAATGAAAGAGCAGGTGGCCAGCAGAGGGGGAGCAGAAACCAAGGCTGCCCGGGAGGGCGTGTCTGATGCAGAAGAGGAGGACTGCATCCTAAAACACATCCCATCCCTGGAGCTACAGCATTTCAGATCAATACTGCAAATACACCCGAACTGCCAAGGAACACGGCCCAGGCACCCTTTGAGGAGGGATTCTCTCTTTTAATTCCTCTGTTCTTCATCTTCTGCTGTATTTGAACCCAAAACCTTCGAGCGGATATGTCCAGCCCTGGGAGCGCAGCTGTTCCTCGGGACCGCTCCAGCTGGTGCCCGCTCTGGCCTAACCTGGTGTGCGGTGGAGGTGGCCGGCCCCTTTAAGGCCCCGCTGCGCCTGCGCCTGCGCCTGGGGCTTTCCGTGGCGGGGCCGGAGCGGAAGAGCGAGCGGCCGCAGGGGGGCGCTGGGCGGCGGTGGAGACAGCAGCGGCGCCGGGAGGGGCAGGCGAGGGCGGCGTGGCCGCTGGAAGCATCTGAGTGAGCGCGGCGCTTCCGGAAACGCGGGACGGGCGGGCGGCCTGCGGAGGGCGGAGGCGCGGCTGGCGGCTGCCATGCCCATGGGAAGCGCAGGTTTGCCGGGACGTCCACGCAGCGTTTTTGAGCTGAGGGCGCCGCGCCAGGCCGCGGGCAGTGAGTTCGGACCCGGGCGCACAGCTGGGTGGACGCGCAGCGGCCTCCGGAACATCTGCTGCGGGAGCTGGCCCGGGGCGGCCGCAGGGCTGAAGTCCCTGCCCTGGGTTCCTCTCCTGCGCGGCCGCCCCGCAGCACTCCTCTCGTGGGGCCGGGGAGAACCCCGCCGGCGGGTCTTTGGGGCTTCTTAGATGATCTCACTTGGCATCCTCCCACCAAAGTGCAGCAAGACTTTTGGAATGGCTTCCTCGCATCCTCCTGTCTTTTGCCGGTAAAGCTGCTTTGGACAGGAAGTCTTTTCTTGAAGTGCTGTCATTTCTTCGGGGTACAGTGTTGTTCATCCGAAGGAATGACTCCCAGTGCTTGAGGAGGTTAAAGTGATCTGCTGGTCGTTTTTAATCTTTGTTCTGAGCTGATATGTGTTAGTAGCTTTCTTTTGTTTTTAAATTTGATTGGTAAAACTTCACCTGTGAACCAGCGGCTCAGTTTTCTATTCTAAAATGCTAGCTTTAAGATTTCTGAGAACTTTGTGTCCAAGACATCTTTGAAAAGTTACTGAAGTCTACAGAAGTTGACAATTTGAAATGTGCAGGTGGTCCGGGGGCGGTAGATCACACCTGTAATCCAGAACTTTGGGAGGCCAAGGTGGGCCGATCAGTTGAGCCCCGGAGTTCCAGACCAGTCTGGGCAACGTGGCAAAACCCCATCTCTACAGAAAATACAAAAATTAGCTGTGTGTGGTGGTGTGTGCCTAGCTAGCTACCTGGGAGGCTGAGATGGAAGCATCTATCAGAGCCTGGGAGGTTGAGATCACAGTGAGCAGTGATCATGCCAGTGCACTCAGGCCTGGATGGCACGGTGAGAGCCTGTCTCAAAAAAAAAAAAAAGTACAGGTAATAAATTTATACTAAGTGAAATTCACCACAGGTCAAGAAATAGAACATTACTAGATTGGGGTATATATGTAAGAGTCGCATTGTTGGTTTTAGAGGTATCACATATTGTTGAACATTTTCCCAAAGTGGTTGTAAAACTTAACAGGGAATATTCTGGTTATCCCACATTCTTGCTAATGCTTGTCAGTTAAAAATTATTTTGCCATTGGAGTAGAGGTGCAGTAATACATCAGTGTGGTTTCATTTTGCATTTTCCTGGTATTGAGGTTGAGTATTTTTTATTGCCATTTATATGTTCTCTTTTGTGAAGTGCCTGTTAAATCTTTGTATCCTGTTTTCATTGATATACTTGTTTTTCTGTTGATTTGTAACACTTTATTCTGGTTATGTGTCCTTTCTAGGATATATATGTATTGCATTTCTCTTTTTTCAAACTGTAGCTTGCCTTTTCACTCTTTTAATGGTGTTTTTGCATGAATGGAGATTCTCTAATTTTTTTTTTTTTTTCTTTTTGAGACAGGATCTCACTCTGTTGTCCAGGCTGGAGTGCAGTGGCACAATTACAGCTAATTGCAACCTCGACCTCCCAAGGCTCTGGTGATCCTCCTGCCTCAGCCCCCAAGTAGCTGGGACCTACAGGGGAGCACCATTATGCTCAGCTCTTTTTGTATTTTTAGTACAGATTGGGTTTTAACACGTTGCATAGGCTGGTGTGGAATTCCTGGGATCAAGTGATACACCTGCCTCGGCCTCCCAAAGTGTAGGGATTACAGGCATGAGCCAGCATAGCCAGCCTGAGTTTCTTAATTTTAATGAAATTATACTTGATCAATCATTTCCTTTATGGTGACTGCTATTTGTGTCCTGTTAATCAATGCCTAATATAAGAATATGAATACATTTTCCTGTGTTAACCTCATAGCAATTTTATTTTAGGTTATGCTTCCCCCCCCCCCCCAGACAGGCTTTCACTGTATTTCCCAGGCTGGAGTGTGGTGGCATAATCTCAGCTCACTGCAACTTTCACCTCCTGGCTCAAGCGATCCTCCCCGCTCAGCCTCCTGAGTATCTGAGACCATGGGAGTGTGCCACTATGCCTGGCTAATTTTTGTATTTTTTTTTTGTAGAGATGGACATTCAAAATTTTCCCAGGTTGGTCTCAAACTCTTGGGCTCAAGTAGTCTGCCCACTTCAGCCTCCCAGAGTGCTGGGATTACAGGTGTGAGCCACCTCACCCAGCCATGATTCATTTTTTACTACATGGATGTGACTGTTTGATGTAGCATTGTGTGTTGAACGCAACATCCTTATCCTTCTGGACTGTGTGGCACTTTTTTTCATAAATCAGATGGCTGTATGATCATCTGATTTATGAAATCAGTGTGGGTCTGTTTCTGGACCAACCTGGGCAACATAGTGAGATCCCATCTCTACAAAAAATAATAAATAATACATAAAATGTTTTTAAGTGGGAAGAAAAGATGGTGTCATAGGTCGTAATTTATAAATGATTGTCAATTTCTTGGCTACATACAGATGTTGGTAAATCAGATCTGTTAGGAGTTTAGGCAAAATGTATTAAGAGAATTATATGGTGTTCAGAATGATTGCTAGATGTTCATTGTGACTTCAATTAGATGTTGTTTGAGACTCACAGAGCTACAGGTTTTATTCTTTTATTTATTTATTTGTCTTTTAAAAAAATTTACAATCTTCCTGTCAAGGCAGTAACTCTTTTATACTTAATTGTTCTTAAGTATATCTAATTACCAGGAAATTTTTATGGATCATATCTAACTAAGTGTTAAGCCATTAAAAGACTGATGTGATGTAATGTAGACAATAGTATTCTACGTAATAGTTTCAGGACTACATCAGTTAAATTGTTTCTTCTTCTTCTTCTTTCTTCTTTCTTATTTTTTTCTCCTGCATATAGTCTGAACACATCTTCTTCTTTTTGTTTTCTTGAGACAAGGTTTCGCTCTGTCGCCCAGGCTGGAGTGCAGGGGTGCAGTGGTATCATTGTGGCTCATTGCAGTCTTGACCTCTCAGGCTCTAGCAGCCTCCCACCTCAGCCTTCTTAGTAGCTGGGACTATAGGCATGCACTACCATGCCTGGCTAATTTTGTATCTTTTGTATACAGGGTCTTCCTATGGTGCCCAGACTGTTTTCAAACTCCTGGGCTCAAATGATCCTCCCACCTTGGCATCCCAAAGTGTTGGGGTTACAGGCATGAGCCATCACTCCTGGCCATTTTAGTTTTAATCATTTTATATTTTTCTAATTTAAAATATTTACTCTATTATTTATGAATATAATATTGTTATTATGATTATTTTGTATGTGTTTAATCTCATTTTCAAAATATGCTTGTGGAAATTAGAGATCTTGTGTTCTCAGCCTGACCTTGCCTGGTATGAAACAGATATTCAATAAGTAGTTGTTACATGAATGAACGAACCTCATTCAACAATTCTCCAAGTATCACAGCTTTCACTATCTAACAAATAAAAGAGCTTGTGTAGAATAGAGTCACAGTTAACCTACCATAAAAGGAAATGTCAATGAAAATAGACCTTTGTATGTGCAGCTGCTAAGATTTTGGGGCTTTTGTTACTGCAGCATAAACTAGCAAAGCTCAGTGAGACAGCAGATAGAATATACATATAGAAATAGACCAGATAGACCAGTGGATGAGATTCCAAAGATAGTTCAATCAGCATTAACTAACCACACCCACACTCTCTTAATTTCCTAACAGAAAGAATGGAATTCCTGTTCACTAAGATCTGCCCCAAATATTACTTATTTTGTGAAAACTTCTCTGGCTACTCAGGAATCCCCCTGCTTCAGCCTCCCGAGTAGCTGAGATTGCACGTGTGTGCCACCATGCTTGGCTAATTTTTTATTTTCAGAGACAGGGTCTTACTATGTTGCCCAGGCTGGTCAGGACTGTTGATTGCATATGACAGAAACCCAATAAACTCTAGTTCCTCACCACCTTTCAATCTGCTCCTTTCTCAGTCTTGCGAGTCTCAACAAATGGCAGTTCCATCCTTTAAGTTGCCCAAGCCCTGAATCTTAATGTTAACCTTGATTTCTCTCTTTTATGTCATAGCTGGTATGAAGGCCAATCATGTTCAGACCCAGGCGGAGGTTCCTGCTGACCCAGGCTCTCACCAGCACATCGTCCTTTACTGTCCTCCTGAGGGTGTCTGGAGCTTCAGTGCTGTGTGCTCTTGGCCTCCACGCCGGGGCACGTGCTGTCCAGGGCTTCTAGTGGACTCTCCAAGGCACTGATGTAGAATCTTCCCCATTCAGTGCACCAAGAGTAGCCTCACGCAGTGTGGGCTGACATGAAGAGCTGCCAGATCTAACAGGTAAAAATCACGAGGCACTGCCAGCTGGATGGGGTCAGAGAGTCCTCTCTCCATTACGATTCCGATGAGAAGGGAAGATTCCATAGGCCCTAAACATTGCAGCATGACCCGCATGTGCCACCCATGAGCTGCAGTGCATGGTCAGGTGGAAGTTATTTGACTTCAGGAGAGGACAGTGTTCTCTTCAGGCCTTTTCCTCAGTGGCTGGATCTGCATCCCTCTCCTCTCTCTTCCCCTCTCACCCCCCAGTCTCCGTCCCCATTTCTCTCTCTGCTTCCACCTTGCTGTTCCCTTTCACCTGCTTTCACCTCTTCAAGTTTCATGGTTCCCCCCTCCCTGTCCACCCACATTTCCCAGGCTAAGTCCCCTGAGCTCTCCTGGGTGGGGAGATCTGTCTGGTTTTAGGCGGTGCCCTCTAGATGTGTCCAGGATAGGGAAACATGACTCCACTGCCAGTATAATGGTTTCAGAGGGTGGCCTCTTTTGAAGGCCTTTCACATCTCCCATTCTGGAATTGTGTAGGACTTAAAATTGATGGGCCACAGTGGAATTCTTGGTTCCTTAGGATCTTGTGGTGGTTGCCTTCTTTCACTGAGCATTCACAGGGCGGCTATTAGGTGCCAGGCCCTGCTCTGGGGTAGGGGGACCACAATGAGTAAATGTCAGGTCACTGCCCCGTGGAACCCACCACTGCAGGCATCAAAAGGGGGAGAAAGAAAGCGGCGTGGCCTGTTTGTGTCCTCATATGGTCACCTGCCAGGTCCTGGAGGAGTGGGAGCCACTGCAAGGAGAGAAACCCAGTGAGAAAGGCAAAGGGATGATGTCAGACCCAGGGGCTAAGACCCCCACCTGCAGCTGGTTAGCTTCTGGAGTGGACAAGGAGCAGCAGGGAAGGTCGTGGCCTGGTGTTCTAGGGTTCACCGTCCCATCTCATTCCTGTGGGTGCCAAAATTGTCCAAAGGGAAGACTCAGTGTCTCTAACAACAGCAGGCCAGAGACAGACGGTGTTTCAGAGAAGCAGGAAGGATTGTTCGCCATGGAAACAGTATATGGTTTTATAGTAGTGCGTCTCTGTCTCTTAACTAGTTAGCGTGTTCCTGTTAATGGAAAATATTGGTGGTGTAAGTTCCCCTGGATCTTCTCATCTTCATGTAAGTTTGTCTGCTCCCCCATCCCTCCCTTCTTTCCTTCTTTTCCTTCTTTCCTGAGTTTTCTGATCATGGTCATGTGAGGCTAAAATCCAGGAATGACCTGGGTATGCTTTTTCTCTAGTGTTCAAGCTTTTATTCCAAGTTCACTGCAGATATTGGAAAAAGTTTCTATTCTTGTTTGTGGGGGACTGAGGGCCCTTTTTCTGTGCTGGCTGTCAGCCAGGAGACACTCTGACTTCAGAGGCCACCCGCTTTCCTCCTTACCTGACTTTTCCCTCTTTCAGCCAATCACAACTCATGGAGTCCTTCTCAAGCTCCTTCCTTCTCTGATTTCATCTTCTCCAACCAGCCACAGAAAGCTCTGTCACCTACAGAGTGAGGCAATTCGATCCAGTTCATGCAGGTAACCTCACCATCTTCAAGTCATGTATCTGTCATATAACATAATCACAGGACTGGTGTCTCATCACCTTAATAAGCTTCAGAGACAAGGGTATGGCATGTTTGGGGACCATTTCAGAAATTCCGTCTACCACAGTTGGACACTCACATTCCCCCATCTGCAAAATGCATTTATCCACTCCTCTAAAGTTTCCAAATTTCATGTTATTAAAGCATTATTTTAACATGGAAAATGTCACATAGTCCACATCAGTTCCAAAGTATAAAATCTCATCTAAAACATCCACACTAGGTGTGGATGAGGCTTCTATGTGTGTCCATTAAGTACAGATCCTTGACATAATTTCCTTACCTCTGTCGACCTGTGAAACTGAACAAACTGCTTATCTCCTCCTAATGAGGAATGGCGGGACAGACACAGAATAAGAATTACAGTGATTCTAGTTCAAAAAGAAGGAACATGGAAGGGAGAAAGAAGTCACCGACCCAAAATAGTATGGAAGTGGAGCTGGGCAAAATCCAGCAGGAGGTTCTTAAGTAGGACCCACAGCCTGGGACTGAGCCTCCATCCTGTGGGACTTTGCCTCTGGGACATCTGCTCTGCATTTCTTGAAAGCGTTATTATTTATCTTATTTTTTTCCCCACTCCTTTGGTTCTTCTCCTTTCTCCTCATGGCAGCATCCTCTGCATAATCCTTGGTCAGTCATCCCCAGCAGAATTGGTCAGATATTGCCCATGTCACAGTCCTGACCATCTCCACGAGGGGCTGTCCTTGTGAGCCTGTGTTCCTCTGAGATTGTCTTCACAGACCTGACCTCTCTCAGTCATGATTGCTTTCAGCTGACCTGGCTGGGTTAGGAGAAAACCTGAGAGTATGGAGTCCCAGAACCATTCTCTGCCCTCTCTATCTCCAGGAGAGGAAAAAAATAACAGGGATCTTCATGGAGAAATAACCCACGTGAGGGCCTGGACTCTCCAGCAGTTACAGCAGAGGAAACTCCCTGAGGAGCATGGAGGAGCTGAATGCCCAGACTGGGAAAGCAGGGTTGTGTTAAGCACTATTTAATCCTCACGTGCTCCCTGCCCCAATCTACAAGCCCGCGAATAACAACAGACTGAGAATAGGTAATAGGACTATAGAACCATGATAAAGAATTGTCCAAGGAAAGGCCCTTTTACTCTGTTTGCAAGGTGAAATTGCTGTATTGGATCCAAAGTTTTCTGAAAGGCAGCAGTGAGTTTCTGGAGGGTGAGTTGCCTACTTTGCACAGGGAGGGTGAGGCCAAAGCTTATGTGGTGTATCTGCTGCCACCAAGTGGTGAGGGAGCCTGGGAGAGTCTTAGTCTTTCTGGACTTGAGTTTTCTCATCAGTAAAGTAGGGGCTTATTGTACCTCTCTGAGGTCCCTTCCTGCTCAGTTTTCTCTGAGTCCTTGAGGGACTAAGATGGTTTTTAACACTTCCTGGACCTGTAACCTGCCTCTGACCTCTCTGGGTCTGACTCCTGACTCTCGCCCCTGTGTTTCTCCTGCAGAGCATGAGCTGAGTCCACACCCTGGAAGCCAAGAACCGAGGGATCAGATGGAAGAAAGAAAGTCAGCAGGTTTTGGAAAAGAGAATAAACTGCAAAGGACAAGTCAATGGTAGAACAGGTGAGAAACAAAGAAGGGGAGAATAAGGATAAACTGGGCCAGAAGCCTCAGGGGAAATGGGCAATGGGCCTATGATCATTCAACCACTCGAGGAGCAGCGCAAGCTGAGCAGTGGGGACCGAGAGAGAAACTTACTCCACAGGAGTCTCCTGACCCTGGCCAGGGAGAGCCAAAGGGTGGATCAGAGCTGGTTTATAGTGAGGGGCAGCACCAACTCCAAGAGGGGGAGGATGCGACCGTGAGCCCCACCCCAGAC